CTCATGGCTGCTGCTATGTTGCAATGTTTTCGGAAAGGGCTTATTTTTTGGGGGGAGGACTTATTCTAGCATGATTGGGCTTATTATCTGGGGAGGTCTTATTTTCAGGGAAACAGAGTACACATAACTGGCTTGAAAACTGGCTTGAAAATCACATTCAAACCTAGAAAACGACTCCTCAACAAATTGTCAGGAAATTCTGTTTTGGTTCCTCTAGACTTCTACAGTTTTATTAATGGCATGGATGAAAGATGGAAGAATGTCCAAGAAGATAGAAACAGCATTGAAAACAGTCTTGATAGGTCTCAGAAATTGACTGAATAAAGGAATGAAATTTAATGAAAGAAAATGAAAAATTAAATACCTAGGCAGCAAAAGTCAATAGCAACAGCAACAGCACTTAGACTTATATACTGCTTCACAGTGCTTTCCAGCCCTCTCTAAGCAATTTACAGAGTCAGCCTATTGCCTCCAACAATCTGGGTCCTCATTTTACCAACCTCAGAAGGATGGATGGCTGAGTCAACCTTGAACCTGGTGAGATTTGAACTGCCAAATTGCAGGCAGTGGCAGCCAGCAGAAATAGCCTGCAGTACTGCACTCTAACCACTGCGCCATTGTGGCTCATGGTATAGATATAGTTTCGGATAACAATAGAAAATTTGAAAAAGATTGTGCAATGTGGCTACAAAAATGAAATGCAATGTTTGCAGGGAATCAAGTGTGGCCCCTTTTGAAGAAGTCCTTCCTGGATCCAAGTATTTTAAGCATTTTAAGTATTTTAAATACTTTTAAAATATTTAAGTATCCCTAGTGCCGCATAACAGTGAACCATTACTTGTCCCAGCTTCTGCCAACCTAGCAGTTCGAAAGCACGCAAAAATGCAAGTAGAAAAATAGAGATCACCTTTGGTGGGAAGGTAATCGTGTTCTGTGTGCCTTCGGTGTTTAGTCATGCTGGCCACATGACCACGGAGACATCTTCAGGCAGCGCTGGCTCTTCAGCTTTGAAACAGAGATGAGCACTGCCTCCTAGAGTAGAGAATGACTAGCAAATACANTTGCTGACTCAATTTGCTAAAAAGTTTGTAAACCGCTTAGAGAGGGCTGAAAGCCCTATGAAGCGGTATATAAGCCTAATAAATAAATAATAAATAAAATAAATAAGTTTCTGGCCCGATTGTACAGCATTTTAGCTATACATTCTAGATTGTAAATTCTAAGTGTACCAACCAAGAAACCTTCTCTATTTCCTGCTGGATGGCTTGTTGCTGTTACTACTGTCTTTATCAGAACCCTTGACCTTGGTGTATGTGACAGACAGAACTCTGCAAAATTTTACTCCCATTCTGGTAATTAAGGAGTCAAAATATGTATGATGGAATAAGCTCGCTAGTATCAGTTTCTGAGGTATAGCGTAATAAACACATTGTCTGGCATGCCTCTTTCAGTAACCAAGAAAGAAATCTCCCAACTCCATTGTTTGTGGAATTAAAAGTACTTTTACTGGTTATGAATAGATAACAGCGAAGTAAAGCAAGGTCTGAGCCAGAAAAGCGCGAAATCATACATATCAAACGTTTGCCCAGCCCCCTCCCTCCAATAACCCCCACCCCATTGCCCAATCTGCAACTCCCTTAGGTGTCATGTGGGTTGCATTTCCAAGAACCATCATCCTGATACGCAGGACGGTTGGCCTTGACCAGGTCCAAACACCGGCCATCAGCATGCGCAGAAGATGGTGAGAACAAAACTCCCTTTTTGACTATCACTCCTGTACCATTTATTCCCACCCCAAATATCATGCCCCCCCTCCCTGTTTCCATGGCAGCCGAAAGCAAGCAAGCGAAGCAGAGGCTGACACACATGGCTACAGGATTCAGTTCTCCTTGCCTGCAGGGAATTAATTTTTATAGCCATGCTTCCTGTTGCATCATACAATCTGTCTAGCATTTGCTGCAAGTCTTTTGGATTCTCAGTCTTCAACATGAATAGAAAATTACAAAAAATAGTTCACATGACCTTTAACATCACGACTGTATCTTTTAATGTCACCTCTAGAATCATCACAAGCATTCCTTGTACGTTTAGCCATTGATCAACCGAAAGAAATAGATGGCTTGTGTGTTTTTCTAAACTATTTGTTGCAGACTCCATTGATTCTCATAACTTAACCCCGTACAGGTGCAAATTATTCCGTAATTCAGATTTCTTTATTATAGGCTTTCTTTAAATCAGCAAATATGCAGCAAGCCTTGTTTCTCACAGTAAGAGTTTTCTTAAAGATCTATTGAAAAAAATCAAACTCTGGTCTGCACGTTCCATGTCTGGCTTATCAGCATATTGAACTTCTCAGATTTTCTTTACTGTCACTTCCTGTGACAATCAAGGATTGTTGATGTGGTCATTTCTAATTAAGAAAAAATGTGTTCTATTTGTTCATACAGTAGTTGACTTAGTGCAGACACGATCCTTAACCTACAAGGAGAGTTTTATATGAAAGAGTGAGGAAGAAGAATTTAGGCAAGAAAAACAAAATGTACAGGTACAGTATAAGGGGTACCTTGCTCAACAGTAGTAACTGTGAAAGGGATCTTGGAGTCCTAGTGGACAA